AGAAAGACATTGAAATAATGGAGCCGGTCATTATCGGTGCCCTAATTTTGGATATTCATGCTAACCCTTTAACTAATCTTTAGTTTTGTTTTTATATGTCTTGTTTACACCAGGTGGTGTAGCAAGAAATGTAGCTGAATGTATCTTCAAGCTTGGAATGAAACCTTTTATGATTGGTACTTTAGGAATTGATGCTCCAGGTTTGCTTTTTTAATCATTGGAACAAAACTGTAAACACATTGAAGAATCACTTCTGTTTTTTTTTTTGTTTTGGAGCTAATATGTTTCTTTGTTTTTTATTTATACACAGCAAATGTGTTATTGAAAGATTGGAAACTCTCCATGGAAGGTTAGATTTTTTTGCTTGACATTGCCTCGTATCGATTGTTCGTTAATGTAGTAAGACATTGATGCATTGATTCGAAGATACACTCATCTTAACCATGCTGCAGGTCTACAAAACACAGGTTGAGTTCAAAAGAGATTAATCAAAGTATCGAACTTTCGAATCTCTCTCCTTATATCTTTTTCTATTGATTCGATAATAATTAATTATGCGGTTGGATTTCTGAATTGTTTGATGTATCCACCGTTAAAATGTTGATCTTTGCGTACGAATTCTTAAAGATTATGAACACATGCTCTGTTTTTCTTTTTAAGTTTACCAAAACAGAGCAAGAGAATATTTTCTTGTTTCACTGCTTCCTTTAAACATGATTATCAAATACCTGTTAGATTGGATATTCCTATTGAAGAAAAAAAGTTAATATTTTCGTTTTCGTAAATTTCATAATTTGTTCTCTCTTAATCATCTCTATATAATTTTAATACCCACAAAGTGTGTTTAACTATCTATGTTCTTCACTAAACGTATCAAGACCAAAGTAAAAAAAAAATTCTCTGTTCTTCCTCTCTTGACAAAAACCAAAGGGATAAGCAAACCAAAGTTTGTATCAAAAATGATTTACTATGAACAAACCGGCATTACTATGCAACATTCAGACTTTTACTTCATCATTAGATAAAAATTTCACATCCCATTATTGATAATTTGAAATATAAAACCCTGTTCCGATCTCCATACACACAAATAGTGCTTTTAAGTAGAAAGAGATTTGAAAGTAAGCAGAAGAAATCATTCACCATGGGCCAGTGAACTCTTCTTCTCCAGGTCCTCAGTTACTCCCTACGTGGCGACGGGAAATCCGAACATTATGTGGCACCAAGTCCAACAACTGCTTGAAAAACAAATGCACATTTTTGGGGTGAAAATTGGGCAAACAAAACTACAAATGCACAAAATGTACTGATTGATACAACAAGATCACTTGATTACCATCCGTTGATGTCGCCTACTAGCGAGATGCGTGGTGAAATCTTCAAAGCTTTGGAAAACAAGACCAGAGCTCTCTGAGCAAACCCAGCAGATACAATCACGCATCTCACCGCACTTATCATCCTCAAGTACTCCTGAATCCGCCCCAAGTAAGCTTTCAAGAGAAGGTTGAAGGATACAGTTGTATCCCGATGGTGTGAGGTCAGAAAGACAAGCGTCCGGATCGGATATGACCATTATATTAGCTGGAGGTGGTTCATTAACAGTAAACTCATGGATAAGATACAGAATATCACTGGCACCTGTTCCAGAAAAATAAGACTTGAGACTCACTCTATCCATTAATTACTATAAAAATGCATAAAGATATTAACCACTGTCGACGTTACTAAGAGCGATTCCACTGGAATAGACTCCTCTCAGGATGTCATTAGGGATGTCAGTTAGTATGCCAACAGCAGTGATGGTGAGAGGACCAGAGTAGCCTGAAGTCTCCAAAAACCGTTTAATAACCAGACGAGCATCATGGCCAGGGAGAACCGGACACTTGTTGATGTCCCAAAACACAGATGTTACAGCCTCATGGTCTATCTTAGGAGGCCCACTTGGTTGCA